GTTTTAGATCAAAAGCACGTCACTGTCATTTTCTCAGCTCATTTTACTGCTTATTCAATTACATGTGTCACAGTGCCAGGCGCTTTTCAAAGCACCCAGCACTGCGATGTGTGCCTGTGTAAAAATGCCCTTTAGTTCCCTGGATCCTCCTCCTTCCCTTTCTTAAAGATGTGCACTATATTTGCCATTTTCCAATCATCCAGAACTTCATACGACCTCTATGAGTTCTCAAAGAGGATAGCCAATGGCTCTGAAATAACCTCAACCAATTCCTTCAGTACTGTAGGGTGCATCTCATCTGGCCCTGTCAACTTGAAAGCATTTAGCTTTTCTAAGTAGTCTCTAACCTGTTCAGCCCCTACTCTAGGCTTTTTGTCTTCTTTCCTATCTTTGCTGCCAACTCCACTCATCATATGAGAGCTACTTCCTTTTGTGAAAACTGAAGTAAAAAAGGCATTAAATACTTTAGCCTTCCCTAAAAGACAGGATTGCAGCTCACCAAATGGAGTCCATAAAAGGTGCTTCTAGCTACTGCTGCTACCTAAAAGTCCAGGTACAGCAAAGGAACTATAAGCATGCCTAGACACTTGAGTGACAAAAGGGGCTGAATCCCATCAATGATAGGTGTCCCAGTTGATCTCAAGTAATGAAGTCTTTCAATTACCATCACTTCTATCTTATCAGGTTTGAGCCTCAATTAATACACCTTCATCAAGTTCCCAACTGTAGCCAGTGGTGGGTAAGACCTGGGACTGTAGAGTTTAGGGTGAATTAAAAAAAATAATAGAGCCAGGTGTCATGAGTGTACTGATGGCTCCTCACCCAAAATCTCACAATCTCACCCAGTGGCCTCAGATATGACTGAAAAAGAGGAAAGACAAATGGAACCTTGAGGGACCTCACAAGAAAGGCCCTAAAGGGACAGTAAGCACTCACTCATCAGCACCCTTTGAAACCTCATTGCTAGGAAAGAGAAGAACCAGTTACAAATACCCACCAGGGTATATAAAAGTGTTATCGACATTTCATGGTCAAATACATCAAAGGCCACTAAAAGAGATTAAAAGATCAGCAGGGCACAATTTTGCCTGTTAATCTCCAGGCAAAGATCATTGACCAAGGCCACAAGTGCAGTCTCTGCACTATACCCAGGATGAAAGCTGGACTGATTGAGGTCCAGGAATTTGATAGAGTCCAGATGTGCCTGGACCTTTTGGGCAACCACCTATTCAGTGACCTTTCCCCAAAAGAGATTACCATACACTCTTCATTTCACATCTGAAATGTAGATTGTTGGTTTTCTGTAGCAGAAGGGCATGTTCTTCTGCCATCAGTGAAGCACAGATCTTAGCTATGGGTATTAAAACAAATGATAACCATAACAAGTGATAACATTCAGACTCCCAGTTTTCCTCAACTGTTGGAATTTTTAGCCATGTGAAATGGGCTGTGGAGAAGATGGAGCAACATGTCACTGAGACTGCAAAGAATTGTCCAAGGGTCAAAATTAACCTCTATGTGTTCCAGCAGATTGGTAGGAAACCAACTTATGGCAGATTTGGTGCATCAGTTGCAAAGAAGATAGAAAGCCATATAAATTGGGGTTCACTACTTCGCTTGGTGCCCAAAAATCAGCAGTTGGTTTTGACATAGAATATTGGAACATGACAGTTGTTTTTTTTTTCCTGGTGTTCGGTGCTTGGACAATAATCACCAATCAATAGTGGATTGATCAGAAAACTTTTCAGGCTTACAAAGACACTGTAGCTTTACAATACATTTTTATAATGTACCACAGCAATCTGCTTTGCAATACTGCCACACTGGCAAAGAAACATACTACTATTAACATCTACCAGCAGGATTTCCATATGCAAGCACAAGATTCATTCCAGATGTGTTGTCACTTTCATAACCCTTCCATGTACTATGAACATTTGACTATGAATTATACTCCAACCAATATCATCTTGATTTTACACTGATCTTTCATTTCAAGGAACTTTCCTACAATCTTTACCTTTGCCCCATTCAGTCATATGCTCTGAGGCATGTTGTCAATCATTAGATGGAAAAAAAACACCAGTTATTTTAAAGCTACAGTATTTGTCACTGACTCAAAAGATAGAGATCTAACGACTTACCAGGGGCTTTGCTTATAAACACACACCTATACCAGTCTCAGGGCTTGGTATTTTTTTTTTAGTCTTACACTTAAACAGAAAGACATTTTCTCCTAGAAAATGCTGACAGCGTATCTTGGTATCTCAAGGCAGAGAGGTTGCTTCCCCCCAGGCGGTGTGCTGGCAACTTTCACATGGACACACATGACTGAGCTGCCTATAGGCACCCTTGCTTTTATTGTTTCCATAATTCAATACATTTAAAAACAGCCATGCTAACAAACATTATAAAGAGGAATGGGAAGTGAAACTTTATGGACTGAACTTCAGAAATCAACTACAACTTAGAAAGAAAGGGGCTTAGAGCAGAAATACAAGATGGGTTGTTGTGCAAGAAGAAGTTCTCACCTGAAAATGAAAGATTGCTGCATGCAATCAAGGGGAAAATGTATTGTTAAAATAATGGAGCAGAGATAAGTCTGACTAATGCAGGTTTTTAACATACCATTTATAAGTAAATCCTTCATGTGTGTCATGCTGTGTCAAACGATCTCAGGGGCTATGCTGTGTACTTCCTTTTGCTGAACCCTGTTAATTTATTCTACAACACACATGCACACACATGAATGTACATGCACACCTGTAAAAAAGCCAGCAGCACTTTAATATGCTTTCTGGAAATAAAAAAATAGCTGCACAGGAAAATGGCACTCTCAATAAAGTAGAAACATTGATAAAAGAGTACATGTCTATTGCACCTTATGTTTAAATCAGAATATAATGCAGAACAATTCCTGAGACCATTCAGGATAACAGCAAACTTCTCATTCACTCAGACTAGGATTTATTCTTATGATGCTAATTGTATTTCTGTGTTCTAAAAGAAAAGATGCATTTCATAAAAAAGTGTAATTGGTTTGGTCTGAATTGTTAACTACATTTCTTTCATTAACTTTGTTTTTTTGGAAATCAGGTTAACTTAAGTTTAAGCACTGCAGATCCCTAAGAGTAGGTCAGACGTGCCATCATTTCAGTGTACAAAGGGTAAAACAAAGTCTCCATCAATGCTGTCTGCTGTAGCTCCTAAAACACCAAGCCCACTCCAGGCTGTATAGAAAAAAAAATGGATATCAGGAAAGGCCCAAGGTTAAGTCAGGCCACAGAGCATTTAATCCCTTGTCAGCACTGAACCAAATGTGACATCCAGCAGTTCTACAATGTTACTCAAGTGGTTGAAGAACCACTATTATGAACTGTGGAGAAGCATGTAAACCAGATATATGTAATTAAGTAATTTATGCTGACCAGTTACATCCCTTTAAATCCCTAAACTGGACAGAGAACATGAACATACCCAGAATCTGGGAAGATCTGTGAAGTTTTACTTCTGCAAGCAAATCTGTTCAAAAGCCCTGCTGGGTGCACAAACTATTTGTATATATCAGCTGCATTTGAGCAAATGCTGTTTTGTTCCCAATCATGCTTTTATAGGCACAACAGGTACTTGCTTATTGTACAGGTGCAAAGTTTGTGTCCAGCTCTGAAAATTTGGCTCTTAATTTTGTTTGCTACAAGTGATGCTGTTCTCTTCTTTCATTGTTTGACTATGCAGAACTTGACACTAGAAACTGACAGCTTCTAAGAGAATTTTTCACATTTCTAGAGAAGCTGAAAAATCAATTGCATTGTGGAATATATTTTCCCAGAATTTGTGTTATTCATACTTCTCATTAAATACTCAAGAAAAGGTTTATGAAAAGGACTATGTTGTACATAGGACCTGGCTTAAAAAGAAGATTAATTATTAGTTACTGCATTGTGTGGATTAATAGGAAACCAAAACAAGATTAAATAATCAAAACACTCTTGGCACATGTATTAATGACAACTGTTAATTAAATTTAATTGCTTGTAATAATATTTCCTTGTTATAGTATATTAGTAAAGATTCTATAGCATACTTTTTGTAAAAGTGACAAAAAGAATCTTCACTAGTGTATTCTACTACTAAATCCTAAATGAAACCATCTTTTTCAATTAATGAAAATTACCAAATTTCCAGATTAACAATGAAAATTAGCTACTTCACCCTTCTTGTCATACAGTATAATGATTGGGTCATTTGGAAAATATCATTAATCTTAGATAACTATGAATTTTCACTATGGCTAGGCTAAAATATTTCGTTATGCTGGTGGAATTTGTTTTGGGAGGAAGTACTCAAATGAAATCCTGTATGTAGGAAATCGTTACTTTCAGTGATAGATATATCAACATGATATGGTTGTGATTTTATGGGTTATTTCTTTATTAGCTTGGAAAGAAATTAGCACTATAGGGAATTAATGTGATTTAGTATCTCAGTTTTAAAAGCATCCAAGGGCAATAATACTACATGGGTAAATAACTTTGGTTTTGCTGTATCTCAAGAATAGAAGTTAAAAACAGGTCAGATATGAAAATGTCCCAACTGCAGCACTGGTCCATGAACTTAAGATGCTTATTTGTATTCACCAGCACACTAGCTTATCCCATTGAGAAGTTTCAGTTGTTAAATGAACTAAAATACAGTATTTACACATTGATACTGCTATTCACTAACATCAAATGTATAAATATTATTTTTCCATTATTTTTCCTTTTTAGGGGGTTGGTTAGTCTGCTTGTAAATTGGTGCAGGTTTTACCTCCTGAAATATATCCCATACATACCACTAATATACTATAGTATAACATCAGCACAGAAAGAAATAATATTCTGTCTAATTGTTTTGATCAAATATGACATAGACTTTGTACTCGCAGTAGACACATATTTCTGTAAGTTATAGTTTTCACAGTACTTGCTTTCATTTTTTTGTAATCCTGTCTGTTTCAGACCCTAAAGAATGCAGCACAACCGTTTCAGTTTCCAACCTGTCAAGACTTTGCACAAATGATTTGTCAAGAAAAAGTCTAATTATGTCTGGCTTAAGGCTTCCATGTTAAACAGAAACAATTGTGGTGACTGAGAAAGAACCGCCTCCTGGCACTTAAGCAAAATCTGAAAGCAGCATGATTGTCTTGCCTTGTTTCTTTCCATCAACACCCTGTGGTCAGAAAAAGACACTTCAAACTACTTCACTTCCATTTCTATCAATTTTGGGAGACTGGCAGCACCTTGGCATTTGCCTTGTACTGTATATGAGTCATACTGCTAGGGCAACAAGACAGCCTGTTGAATGCAAAGTTTGAAGTCAAGCAGACTCCCAGCCAAAACCTGTTACTGCAGCTATCAAGCAGATTAAACTAAAATTATTTTGATGCGCACATCAAAAATCAAAGTGAGTTTGGAAATTTGGAGGAAAACAGCAGGTGGCCACTGTGCTATAAAATTATTAGAAAAAATCTGTTTTGCTACTGCTGTTTCTCAACCATTGTAAAATATCTGGAGTCATCATTTTGTTTATCTTTTTGTGGGAGTTGCATATGTCTATTAGTAATAGAAGTGCTTGAACAAACTATCTTACAATTTTCAAAAGCAAAGGTCAAATGCGACTCCCATTTGAAATCAATGTAAAGACTTTCACTGAGAGACAGGCTGGACACTTGGGAATAAACAGATATTTGTTAAAAATAACTGTTAATGAAAAGTGAGGAAAGGAGCATATGTAAAGCTTGCAACTAACCATAAGCATAAGACTCTTTAGAAATTAAGGTCTACATTATTATAAAGTTCAAATGATTTAGAATCTCTGCTTCTGCATGCCCAGTTTGAGATAACTTGGAGTCTCTGTCTTGTTTCCAGAAAGTGGGCACATATACCGTTTGGACAATAAGCACTTTTTAGGGTTGGGGGTCTGAAAACCAATGCCACTGCAATTACTTTAGTGTTCCTTCATTCCTCTACAAAGCTGGCAATCTGCTACTATTCCAAACTAGCTTACTGGAGATAGGACCTTGGGGAAGTGGCCAAATCTACACCTCACCCAGCCCTTCAGAGTGGAAAAAACAGTGAATAGAGCTCCTGCTTCAGCTGCTGCCTAACCAAAAAGGTGCATCAATCCATGGTGAGTAAGATTTTGCTTGTGAAATTTCTTAGCTATTTAAATATCTGCTTGTGAGCATGTCCAGAACCACGTAAGTCATAGAACCATAGAAAATTAGGGTTGGAAGGGATCTCAGGTCATCTGGACCTACCCCTGCTCAAAACAGGACTGTCCCCAACTAGATCATCCCAGTCAAGGCTTTGCCTAGCTTGGTCTTAGAAACCTCCAAGGATGAGAATCCCACAACCTCTCTGGGTAGCCTGTTCCAGTGCTTTACTACCCTTCTGGTGAGAAAAGTTTTTTTCCTAATATCGAACCTAAACTTCCTTTGCTGCAACTTGAAACTACTGCTCCTTGTTCTGTCATCTGCCACCACTGAGAAGAGTCTAGCTCCAACCTCTTCAAAAGCACCCTTTGGGTATCTGAAGGCCACTATTAAATCTCCTCAGTCTCCTTTTCTGCAGATTAAATAAGACCACTCCCCTCAGCTTCTCCTCAGAAGTCATGTGCCACAGGCCCCTAGCCATTCCCATTGCCCTCCACTGGACTGTCTCCAATTTGTCCACATCCTTTCTGTAGTTCAGGGGCCAAAAACTGGAATGCTTCTAATAATGCAGCCTAGTATACTGGTAGCCTTCTTGGCAACAAGGGGACACTGATGAATCATTGTAACAGGGAATCCTAGTCCTGTCACCAGAAAACAGGTCAGCCCCTTTAAAGCCAGAACTTTCTGGGCACAGAGTGCCGGTAAGGAGGGGGTTAAATGCTGAGCCTGGTCAGCTAGTCAGCTGACCAGAAGGGGCAGGCCAGGACTATAAAACCCTGGGCAGAACAGCAGTAGGAGCCAGCAGCCAAAGGAGAAGGAGTGGATCCCAGAACTCTATAGAGAGGGCTTGGTAAGCAGTCCAAAGGCTGGAGGAAGGGAACTACAAAGAATCCCAGACAGATAGCAGCAACCTCAGAAGAAAGACCATAGCTGACTGTGGGGAGCCAAAGCATGGACCCTGCATAAGTGTAAGCCGGTATGCTGCCTTCTTTAATAACATTTTTGGGTGGCAGTTATTGCCTATGGACAGGATGATTCATATATATATATATATATATATATATATATATATATGCACACACAC